GTTTGCAAAAAAAAGTCAAACTATCTTTTCTTTTTCAACAGTTCACAAAGAGTGACAACATGATACATTCCAAAACTTAAGAAAACATTAAATATGGTTAGTAAATTAGTATATACTGTAGGCTAACAAAGATCGGATTTTAGAAGACTGAGGATCCTTTCTGCATACAATTTCAAGCTAAATTTTATTTCCGAGAAAGTGTGAGGAAATATGTTCAAATAAGACATATTGATAAAATGATAACAAAACATAAAAAGTAAAAGGCTCATAGGCGAAAAAACGTTAATTGATACGAAATAAATGTATACCGAACGATTTTTATTTTTATTTCCATTTGTCTTGTTATGTCGATTAGGTTATTTATTCATGGTAAATTACTATAATTAATCAAGCGTTTCAAAAGGCAACGTTTACATCTATTTACAAGCTAGTGTTAGGTCAACGGTGAATGCGCGTGTAGCCCGTGACCTATATATGTGTGACATATACCCAGTCTATATTAAGTAACAGAACTCTTTCGCTTGAGTAATTTAATTGTAAGCATTGTTAGCAGTATGTTTACATAATGCGGTGGAAGTATTTTCTGTTGAAATTAAGTTTCAAAAAGCTGTGACACTAGTATCTCTCTTTAATGTTTGTTTAGAAAAGCAGTAACAATGTTGAATTATCGAAGGAGATTAAAGTATGTTATGATTGTTCCGGCCATTATGGCTAATGGTGTCAGGATTGTTTCTGAATCTGAGGAAAATAATTCTGCGAATTCAATGACGTTTGGATGCCTGTAGAAGTATGGTTTAATAAATCGCTTTCTTTCATTATCAAAAAGTGGACAGCGGAGGATATAGCGATAGTCTTAGTAGGCTCATAACCACATTTTTATGCATACCATAACTTTTTAAGTTAAGCATTTCTACCTTCTCGGTAACAAATTACCTATATTCACGTTCATTAATATAACTTATCACAGATCCACTGAAAATACAGTCTTCAAAATAACATTGAATGGCATATTCATACAGTCTAATGAAGCAGGGTCAACGTTAACATTATTGTTTCTCTCAAGCCGACACATACACAAGAAGTAGTATATACGTAGTAGATAATTGTTTATTATAGTAACATATGCAATGAACATTTATACAATACAATACAATTTAACAAAGAGTTGCACCCGGCCCAATGGACCTATTAGTCACCTTTTATCATAACTTCAATAATAAAATAACTTTACATGATATGACAAATAACATGAGGAAAATATATATGGCAAAACAACACTAAATTATAAATATGAAAGTAAACACGTACTAGTATAACAATAAATAGTTAAGTGAGACATAATTCTTAGTGAAATGCAAAACTAAATTATTTTCATAATTTAAGAGTAAAGTATACAACGTCTAAACAAGTAAGCTTTCGTTATATATTTGGCTGTCTTTCTTATGTGATCAGTCATTAACACACATACTTTTTCAGAAATGGTTATATTCATGTCCTGACACACAATCAACATTAACAAATATATCGTTTCTTATGTGTCTATAAATATCACATGATAACAAAAAGTGAGTCTCATCCTCTACTTTATTTCTTTCACAAAAACGACAAATTCTGTCTTCCACTGCTTCTCCAACGACAATACGTATAGGTAAAATCTGAACTGACATAAAAGTGACCGTTCATGTTTTCTTAAATTAAGTGGAACATAATCTTCCTAATCAAAGGTATCTTTAAACAGTTTATATGTACGAAGCTTCCTAAATGATTGCAAATCGGTCTGCCATTTATTATGGCAGCCGCAGGTCTCGAATTTTATCGCTAGCAGTAGACAGACTAACTGTTGTTAAATCTGTAAAGTGCAAAAATTAAAGTATCGAAGTATCAAAACGGACATATAACTTTTCAAATAGCCAACAAATTGAAATTGAATATCATTATTGTCAGTAAGAATATAGGATGGAATTTTTCACTTTTTACCAATCATTACAAAACGGTGACGTCAATAACAAGACATATAACTAGAAAAACGTTATGTAAGGTTTGTCTCTCTTTGATGATTTTCGGTAAGTGTAAACACTGCCAAAGTAATTTATTATTATTTGACATCGAACACTACAATTACAGTGACTGGTTGAACCGTGATATGATTTTGCTTTTCCAATTAACATTATTTTGTATGCCTTACTCTATATTCTATGTTAACTTTACTTTGTATCTTGAAAAAGGTTCAACCGTATTATATTTAGGCCGTAGGCGGTTTATTTACAGCTTGACTTCCGGTGAATGTATGGGTTATATGTTCATAATCAAATATTAGAATAAAAGGTATTGAAATATAATAATGAGGGCTTTTTATGTCCTGTACGTGTGAACACGCAAAAAAACCACAAATGTCAATAGTGTGCTGAAGACTTATCTTTAAAAGAAAAAAACCCATAATACGACTTTGTATATACGTATACAAACAAAAAAAGAAAACGGCAACTTTTATTGTGATAGACTTTTAATTAGTGATTTCACTTAAAGGTAATGGTATTAAGATATTCTTTATCAAAGTACGTACAAATATCAAAGGATGAAAATGGATTGTGTTTCCAGGATAGGTTTCCTTTCAACATTATGCTTATGATCTTAATTGCTGTGGTTTTATCTTATTAAAACGAAACATTAAAAACATAATAAATTTGAAAAGCAATACATTTTAAACGATTAAAAAGATTTTTAAAAAGAGGTTTTCTTTCATCTTACGATTTAAGTAATTATCTTCAGGTATGTAGAAAAATAAAGAATTAAAGTATAAAAATATGATTTGAAAGTTATTTCTTGATATTCTTAATAGTCTTGCCAGTGGGTATAAATGTATCAAAAATAAAAAAGAATCACATGACAATAAGTCATATACATTCTTGAAACAAAATGCGTGCATTTCAGATTACTTTATCTTGATTACTCGAGTGATATCTTAAATGAGATGAGTAAAGAATTATGATTTTAAACAGGTTTTACTAAAATTTGGATAAACAACATACATTCAACAATATTCAACGCAAAAATGGATTAGGAAGACGAATTTATTATATATTATCAAGTTTCTCTCTAACATATGGCATTTTATCAATATGATTTGTTTATGTTTTTATCATTTTATTATTTTGTTTAAAAATCACTGGAAGTCCATTATACCCAGAAAATTACACTCGGCGTTCGTCTCTATACAAATGAACGGGAGGTTCCGTGGTTAATGGAGGTATTTTTTGTTTTGTTTTCTGTTTGGTTTTTAAGTCGCACCAACACAGTAGATATCGTATAGTGATTTCCGGATTTACTATTGAAGGAAGGCGTATGGTGCCCCTCTGTGTATTATTTCAGGCACGAGCAGGCCCTTGAGTAGAACTTCCGACGGTCCGTTATCTTCCACGGTGGTTGAAGAAAGAAAACGCCAATTACTAATTTCGTGGCGTTTTTGTGTGTTCTGCTTTTGGTACAAAGATAGAAGTGGAATTGATTGATATAATTGAAACAACCTAGGAATGTTTGTATAAATGTGTGTAGTTAGCTAACAATTTCATTTAATCGGTGAACGTGCGAAACAGACAATAATTGGTGACAACGATTTCATGTCTAAACGAAATACTATTTTTTTAATTGTGTAACCAAATACTTGGATCGCATTGTAGAAATATAAGTTGCCCTTATTGAAACTATTCAATACACTGTATCCGGTCAACGGTAAACTTCTGTTGACATTAGCTCCTTACACTGGCAAATAACATTTATTAAAGGCATTTTACCGTGACCGTGTAAACAACATATATTTCACCAAAATTGGCTTAAGACCAACTACTAAGAAAACAATAATTCTTTACATGGGTCAGCATTTAAATGACGTACTCTGATAGTGTATACGAAAAGACAAGTGAGATAAAAACATGGATACAGTAACTGTTGTGGAATTTGAATTAGCGTAACATGTACCACTATTATCAAAACGTCCTCCTTTTAATGATGTTCGCATTATTAAAGGATATAACAGGTACACTCATTTTTACAGACCTCTGTGTTAGGAAACGTATTATTCTCTTGGCTGATATGATATAGATATAAATTTATAAATTATTTTTAGCAGTAGTAAAACAAAGATTAACAGATACATTTATAGAAAATTGGTTTGCAACTTTAAGAGATTCATCAAGAGCAAGAAGTTATGTATTATTTTGTGATTTTGGTTTTAAATCATATCTGTCAATGGTTAATATTGAAAAAAAAATAGGAAATCTTTATCACGTTTCAGGACTTCTTCACATAGATTAAAAGTAGGAACTGGTAGATGGCATAAACCTGAAGCAATTCCTTAAAATGAAAGAAAATGTAATATTTGCTTAAAACTAGAAGATGAATTTCATGTAATATTAGAATGTCCAAAGTACAATGTTTCGGGAAAACAACTCATAGATAAATATTTTTGGAAAATCCCAAATAAACCAAAATTTATTGAATTGTTAACATCTCAAAATGAAAATATTTTAAGAAAATTATCAATGTTTATCATTAAAATGTTTGAATTAAGAACAAATGTTTAATATTCGTAAATTTTAGTAGAATGTTAATGTAATGTTACTTAATTGATATCATTATGCAAAATTTGTTTATTCTGTTCATATTAAACCAAACCTATGTCTCAAATATACAGTAAACGTTAAATATATGTTATATATGTTTAATGACCTTGATATTATGTTTCTGTATGTATGTATGTTTGTATTGTATGCTGTGTACTCATGAGTATAATACCCACATGTATTTGGAAATAAAATCTATAAATCTATATGATTTAAGTGCCTTTAAATTATAAAGTGCCTCTTTTTAATTTTATAGTATATATGCCACTTTAAGTTTCAGACCTATTAAACAGTTTAACCAAGTTAAGAATGAAGCATTATTAAAACAAAAATTCAATGTAATAGTAAAAATATTTATTATCATTTTTTTGTCTGTATCTACCGATCTACAAACAACTAATGATTTTCTGGGTTTTTTTTTGAAAATTAAGAATACATATGAAACAACATTGTAGGGGGAGGGTCGACGCTTGTACAATCAAAATACTATACAATTATATTAAATTACTGTTGACATATTACATTCATCAAATCTATGTAATACCTAGTTCAAAAACATTTTGTCAAGATAATCGGCAGGCACAATATCGTAACAATGACAATTTAAGGTTAAACACACATAGACATACAATTATAAGTATACCAAATTCCGAAAGCGAATGGAAAATATATCAATTGTATGACATATATTATTGTAACTAAAGAGTACTTATGTAACCTTTGGAAACCCCAGTAGGTCCCGTCTCACAAGTTCCAGACCATTTTAACCTCTTCTGATTAAATTGATATCAAAAAGATAGTCGTTTCAGTTTCAGTTTCAGCATATTATTCTCCAATAATGACTCTATCACTCCTTGTGTAATTGGTATTCCGTTTTATATTTGACACTGACCTTCAATATTTCAGAATATGTAAAATGTCATGTTACAAAAAAGACAGACACAAAATGATTGTTTGATGGTCACATTACGGACAATATATGTCCAAACAACAGTAAGAAATTGCTTGTAATCTATATATATATATATATTGGTAGTTACAGACAAGTCATCTCCGTAATACCTTATCTCTATGTTCATCGGAACATTCTTGTTTCCCTATATTTCTGTTGCATAGATACAATTTTATATTTCTATACTCTAACCATTCTCATTCAAATACATGTAACATACCCGTAAAATTATTTTTGGTTTCTCGTTTCTTTCTCAATAATACACACTATTCAGTGTTCCAAATAAGCAATCATTAAATAGAGTATATCACAAGAAGTAGCACTTTATGGATGTTGTATTATCTTGACTGTCGAATTCGATTTGGTAAATCAAGAGCAACACCAATTTTATATTATTCTTATTAACAGACAAAGTAAACCAAGAATCATTACAAATTAGTCCTTTTCATCCATATAGAGCATCCCGTCATCATTTGGGACAGTGTATGTTGTTTCTGCAATATTATTGTTTAAAATGTTTTCAGCGCTTACTGTGCGTCCATTTTTTAATGCTTCGATGTCCAGGGAAGTTGTGTATGTGCTGATACCATCACGCGACTTGCACTCAATATTAACAACATTTATTTTCAGTTTAAGTTTATCAGGATTGAACTGCGCTGATCCATTTTCAGCTGGTGCTTTTGTAGCATTACATATTTCTATATTTTCTATTTTCGTTTTATCATGTTCATTCTCGTCGTCGTTTATTGTGATGAGAGTGTTAGTAAATGGAACCGTCTGCTCATTTTCAGCGTCTGAGCTTTGTCGGCGTCTGAACGCTGAATTCACTCTGCTGACGTCAGATAACCTAGTTGTACTCATTGACCTTGACGTATTTGTCGGATACATTTGACTCGCTCTTGAAACAGTACTCATTCGACGTAAAGAGAATCGGTGCCAGGACTTTCTTATTTCTGTTCTCACCTGAATTTGAAAATGTACAATTCTTTGTACTGGGTTAAATCCATGTCAAAAATAGATATGAAACTGTTTTGTCATAGTAATGCTAGTTGAATAACTTACAATAATTGTAAAATAAAAGTATTGTTGTAACTGATTGTTATTGAATAATGAACGGAATAAAAAAGTGATATGTTTTATTATTATAATATTATTTATTTATTATTATTATTATTATTATTACATTTTTTGCTTTAACATACATGTTATCGCTGAAACTACAAAGTATCACAAATAGTTGTTTTATAACGACAACACAAACATGTATACTATACCTCGGCGTTGGTAAAACATAATAATATAGCGATGAACAGTCCCTGGAACAAAAATATAAAGATTTTTTTATATCAAATATAATATTCTAAAACAAGCGCTTGAAAAAAACTTTCTTAAACTGCTTTATATCCAGAAATTCTTCCCATAAAGTAGCTTTTTTAACGAATTTGTTTTAAAACTTTTTCTTATTAATTTTATTTAGAAAAGCCAATGAGGCGGTATACATGTACAGCCGATAAAATTAAGCTATTTTCAACATAATGAAATTGTATGATTGTAAACCTTAATAAATGTCTCGCATTGATAAACAAATATTTACAAGAGAGAAAATAAACATATTTACAAGAGAGAAAATTTCCTTCCTCTACTGTGTTTAAATAAAATAATATTCAATTTAATATACACATTAAATCATTTTAACATCAGAAAGGAATGTATAATCACCTGGTATGAATTGAAGAACATCTCAATTATAAGCATTATAAATGATGTAGTTGTGTCAACTTGTTTTGTAGGTATAACCACCAAGATATAATAAACACCAAATAACGGTATTAGAACAACAATGCTTTTGGCTAAAGTCCTGAAATTTGAAAAAACTAAAAATGTTAACATAACTTTTTTTTTATTGTATCGTAGAAATATTATCACAGTATGATTATATACGTGGCAAGACAAAAGTTGTTACTACCCGTTTTAAAATAATTATTTACTATAAAGTTATTATAAGATAATTTTAATAAGCACAATTTTAATGCTTCTTAAAATAATGGATCACAATTGTCGTGACGCGATAATAAATTGTGTAGCATTTTCGATTTCGTCCAATATGATCAGGATCCATGCTGTTCGCTATCAATTTCTCTATTTGTTATACGGTTTGTAAGCGAACGGCATGGAATCTGATCAGGTTGCGCAGATGCGCAGGCTGGTCTGGATCCATGATGGTCGCAAACCCATTATGTTGGTTATACGCGGCTTATATGTTACACAAATATGAATCAAATTTGTGACTTGCGGAATATTTACCTGTATCTGTTTGTATCTGAATTTGGAAAAGTATTTAGTTTTGTTAGAAGAACTCGCACGATGTTTATGAAGAAAACAAAGTTAAGCTGAAAAGAGAAAAAGAGGACGCTGTACAGGTGGGTATTTTACAAACATTTTAAGTCCAGTTATGTACAGAAAGGAACCGTTTGTGTACGATCAAAACTTTTCAAACCTCTTTTTAACTAATTAAGATTTTTTCAAAATAAAAATAAATTCATGATTTAACAGCGACTGCGTATAGAAGTTATTAACATGAAACCTGTATATATTCATTTTTGCTTCCTAATTTTACCCAAACTATTGTGGTCTGTCATGAAAGTATCCTTAATTGTATTGTATGTATGATATAAGTTTTTTCCAGTGACAAGAATCAGTGAAAAAAAATCAAAGAAATGATTTATTGATAAGAGTAAGATAATGATGTTGCATTAAAAGTGTTGACAATGGTATTACATAATTAAATGTGTAAATACAAATACATGAACATATTAATAAAAAGTACACTAGTCATTTTTAAACGTTCATAATGATGTTTGACATCTGGCATTAAAAGACATAAAGCTGATCACCCAATAAACAAACATACGTTTACATACATTACTTCTTATTCAACGTTCCAGCTTTAAGAAATACTGTTTGAAACGAGTTCTTTCCCTCGTTAAAAGTTTTGTTTTGTACACTGATCAAAAGTTAAAAAAAACTTTGTTAAAATGATTATAATGTTACCCCGTGAATAAACATTTATCAAATATAATGTTTAAAACAATTTTTTATAAGAATCACATAAAGAACATCTTACCCACAGCTGCTAGTTTGTTATATTTTTTTTACAACATAAATAATTGATATACTTACAATAACAGTAATCATGACAGGTGCCTGTATCAACCAGATTATACCAGTGTAACTTTCCGACAAATGCCAGCAACTAAAATATAGTCACGTGATACAAACTATTGCATACCATTTGGATAATAGTGAAATTATATTACTGCATCAAAGACATGTTATAGAATAAGTTCTAATTCTAACAGTACCTAAAATTGTTTATATCTGAAATGCATGTATAATATGTAATGCTAAGGTATTGTTGAGCTTACTTTACAAACGATAATTGAACGTGAAGTAATGCATACTGAATCATCATTGTAAAGTTCTTTCAAAATACAGCATAGTTACACGCTGTTAGGTTGATAAATCTCAATCTCGATTAGTGAGTTCTAACCTACGTGTATTTACATGAGTATCACAACGAAACCTTACGTAAAAAAAGAAATTTATATAAAAAAGTTGAATTTGTCTATTTCATTATAAAATATTAATCCTTTTTGAAAAAGCATATAAAATAATTCAGATAATAAAAACTGCCTAACATATATTATTAAACGTACAAATACAATTACACACTGAATGTGTTATATTATCAATACATTATCTAATAAGATTTAAAGCTGCAAAATGTTTAACTTCGATCAAAACTTTATACAACATGTTACTTTTAATCTTGAAACAAAATCTCTGATTGTAGTATGTCGTGTGAAAGATATAAGAATAAAAATATAAAAATTAATCTTACTATGTATTGTCCAGTACTGCTCGGGAAATGGCCCATGATATCACAAATGGTAAAGGTAAGGCTGAAAACATTGACAAATATAAATATTTCATATATTGGACAATTCTGAATATATTTGTTCTACATAAAAGTAATGTATTAAAGTGTAATATGACCTAATCATATGGAATAGTTGATTAAAAGATGACTGAAGTATTTACTGCAATAGAATAATAACTTAGATATTTAAAGCATAGATGAAAAAACAGCTAATACTTAAACAATGTCATTATAAAATTCATATGGTGCTGAAAGTAAACTGTTTGTTCATCATTTATTGACTTTGGTTTAAACAAAGGACAATGGAGAACGCTACAAAGTATTTTCTTCCTTTATCACCAATTTGACTGATTGGACGTAAAATTTATATCATGGGTCAAGAGTTCATTTTCATGCAAACAGAATGCTAATTACATTGTGAGTGATATATGTAGTTTTTATAGTTTTGCATGAACAGGAATTACTTCTTTAAATATTTTAAGATAAATTTAATAATGCCATACATAATACAAGTATATTGTTTTTTAACGATGAACTTTGAAACCACTCTTGGATATTTTCCATCGACTTGACTCCATTAAGTTCGTTTTAAAACACTAAAATCTTTCTAACCGTGGTTGATAACAGTATGAAATATCGTGTTCAATATTGAAATCAGAGAATCAGACAATGAAAGCAAACTGTACTTTATAAAACCTAAAGATTTATGAGCCGCATCACGACAAAACCAACATAGTGGGTTTGCGACCAGCGTGGATCCAGACCAGCCTGCGCATCCGTGCAGTCTGATCAGCATCCATGATGTTCGCTATTAGTTTCTCTTCTTGTAACAGTGTTTGCAACCGAACAGTACGGTTTTGTCGTGACGCGGCCTAAATTAGTATGTTTAAATTTGATATTTGAAAATCATGATCTGTACAAACATCGTTGGATTAAACACATGATTTAAAGGGACTCCATTTGACATGTACCATTTGATGAAAGTTTAGACCTTTTATCTTTGTGCAAAATTTCAGATCATTCGCACATTTCGTTTTTCCAAAACAATTATTCAAATTGTAAAAAATGACCCAAAATGAAAAGCGTTTAAACGCTTTTCACTCAACTTGGGTTAAGAACAGCATAAAATACAATTTACTATTTACCGTATTTCAAAAAATATTCCTTAACTACATTTGCATATATTTCTGTTTAAAGTGCAGCTGCTCATTTATGTATGTACACATGCGCAATAGTAATGGACGTTCAAAATTTTGTAACAAAGAAAAATTGGAAAAATTGGGGATATATAAGTGATAAATTAACATAAACTGAGTGAAAATATGCGGATTAAGAGGTTTTATATATGCTTAAAGTATATGAGTGATATGAGGTTTGACTTTTAGAGCTAAATGGGAAGAAAGGGAAAGAAAAGTAAAAGTTCACCTCAGAACAATAACAGAGACAAAAGGTTGGCTATGGCGCATAATGTTCCCCCAATCGCACAAAGCCAACAGATACTTCAACAAAACGGACAATATCAGTTAAATATATATGGATATAATAGGTATAGTGGATTACAACAGTTAAGTCAAAACTTTGGTAATCAAAACCAACAAACAGGGCACCTATCTTTCAGTATTCACCTGTTAATTTGGGGTCACAAACTAGGACACAGTACATTCCACAGCCATAAACACCGACCGCCTCGGAAACAAGTGTGAGCAGTGATCAATTTTCTTTGCTTATCCAACGTCTTGACCGTATTGAATTAAAACTTGCACAATTAGACTCTATACAACCCCACTCGATCATAAAAGGTGTTAAACTAGTCAGAAGTGACATTGATTGTATTATGTGGTTGAAACTGGATAAATATTTTTTCCAGGTACCAGAAGATAACTATCTATGTTCCATACTATATTGCCCCAGAAAGTTCACCTGTTCATAATCTATATGATACTGATTTATTTAGAACTTACAGAATGATATAAATTGTTACGAAAATAAAGGAATGGTATATGTTTGCGGAGATTCAAACTCGAGTATTGGTTCAAAATCTGACAGTATAAATTATGATATATTGTTATATGATCATGATTATTTAGCTATGGATTCATTTATTCTGCGGACGACGACTGTTATGGTACAAATCGGTTTGGGGAACAATTACTTGATCTTTGTAAATCTACCGATATACGCATTGTAAACGGACGGTTGGATAGCGACGTGAAATAACCAGGATCCAGATGAAATGGTTTATATTTTTACAACATATTTATCTGAAAGAGATAATGCGTATTTTGAAATTTGTTGTAAGGCAACTGTTAACGCATGGTTCAGCGATAATAAAACGAATAAATGGTTCAATGAAAGCTGTAAATAAAAGTATACTATATAGAGAAATGCTGTATTAGAATTTAATGCTAACAAATCTGTAGAAAAAAGAAAATGATTCTATTTGAAAAAGAAGGATTATAAATATCATTGTAGAAAAGTAAAACGGAACTTTGACAGAAAACAAGCTGCAAAAATGAATGAATTGAGAAACAAAAAGCCAAAAGAATTTTAGAGGATGTTTGGTCAAAGTAAATCAACTGTGTCTGAAACATAGATTTGGATGACATTTATATTCATTTTAAGAATTTAGCATCTGAATTTTCTGTTTCGGAAGATGCCGAAATTGAAGATCTTTTTTAAATATTTTTGATGAAAATGCAAATTTTAACTCTACTTTTGAGGAGCTTGATGTACCTTTTACAACTGATGAAATAAGAAAAGCTATCAAAAAAACTAGGAACAAATAAAGCTAGCTCTTTTGACCACATTATGTACGAGTACTTTAAAGAAGGTATAGATATTTTAGACAAACCTTTAGAAATATTGAAATATTTTAGATACGGCTTGTTTTCCCAAATCATAGTCACAGGGAGTTGTTATATCTGTTTTTAAAGAAGGCGATTCTAGTGAACCTTCTAATTATAGAGGTATAACACTAATCAGCTTTTTTGCAAAATTATTTACTGTTGTTATTAATGAGCGTTTTAAAAAGTGGGCTGATACTAATGATATACTCACTGATGCACAATTTGGTTTTAAATGTAATTATAGCACAGTAGACGCTTCATTTCTCCTTTATGCTTTTATAGAACGACAATTAAAACAAAAATAAAAATTATATTGCTGTTTTGTTGATCTTATGAAATGCTTTGATTCTATTTACAGACATGCCTTATGGGTAAAATTGATAAAACATGGTGTAAATGGACGCTTATTTTGTGTAATAATGTCTCTGTATGAAGATGTTAAATTATGTGTAGTCATATGGATTTATTGTCTGATTTTTTCAAATGTGATGTTGAATTATTGTAAGGGGAGATAATTTCTCCGAAACTTTTCTCATTATTCTTAAATGATATTGAGTTGTTTTTACAAAAAGATGATAGTTCTTGTTTGACATTAAATCAACTTTCTATATACCTACTACTTTTTGCCGACGATGCAGTCATTTTCTCAGAGACGGCGCATGGGCTTCAAACTTCATTACATAATTAAAAAGACTAATGTAATAAATGGCAATTGAAAGTAAATGTTAATAAAACGAAGGTTCTTGTATCTAAAAAGATAGAATGGCCAATGTACGAAATGTATATGAACATATTTATTTCGACGGAGAAGAATTGATATTTGTTTTAAGTTTTAATTACTTAGGTATTGTGTTATCTAGTGGTGGATCTTTTAAGACAGCAACAAAAATATTTGCTGATAAAGGTCTTAAAGCTATGGGCTCATTATCTAGTATTACAAAAAGCATTGAAGTTCCTGTAAACATTACGTTAAATTTATTTGATTCATATGTTGCATCTATATTAAATTATTCTTGTGAAGTATGGGGGTTTGAAAAAGCGGAAAATATTGAACGAATACATAGACAATTCATGAAATGGATACTCAATGTTAAAATGTCTACTGCTAATTCTGCATTATATGGTGAATTGGGAAGATATCCATTATATGTAGTTAGACAAGTTAGAATTGTTAAATATTTCCTGAAGTTGTATTTTGAAAAGTGTTATAACTGTATTTTATCAAGCACAATGAACGCTTTAAGATATGAAGCTGAACATTGTAACTTTGTGAACTGGGCGTCTAAAGTCCGAGATTTACTACAAAACACTGGTTTTCATGAAGTATGGATGTATCCTTCTTCGGTAAATATTAATATGATTGTTCCTATGTTTTGTACTAGAATTATTGACATGTATATAAATAATTGGAGACAAGATATTAGTACAAAGTCATCTTTATTTTTATTTAAAGAATTAAAGCCAGATTTTGAAATGTCCGAATATATAAATAGAATGAAATGTCGTAGTTTAAGAAATGTTTTAGCTAAAATACGTTTATCTTCACATGACCTACATATTGAAAATGGTAGACATAGAAATATAGATAGAAACGATAGAAAATGTACACTGTGCCATTGTAATGATATTGAAGACGAATACCATTTTATTTTAATATCTCCAATGTATGCTTTAATTAGAAATCAGTATATTCCTAGAGGTATTATCATAGACACACGAGTATGCTCAAACTCACACAATTGTTGAATTATACAAATGTAGAGGTCTTAAACAAATTCGCTCTGTTTTGCAGAAATGCTTTTAAATTAAGAACAAATAAATTAAATTCTTTGTAATGATCTGATGAAATATGTAAAGTTGTTTGCATGAATATAATATGATATTTACATTATTACTACAAACTGTATGTGCTGGTAAAAATTTGTTGTATGTAACGATGAACTGTAAATGTTCAAGTTAGATTCAAATAAAAGTTTTGTTCTGTTATGTAAGAAATTTAAATGTTATGTTTTAGGCTTTTAAACCTCAGTGGAGTCCCTTTTAACTCTACACACTATATTTGATGAAAGTATAAATACATCGTGTGATTAAATTAACAAGTGTCAGTATTTTTAAGAAAGAACCAAAATAACATTAAAAGAGATGCATCTTTCAAAACAAGTTTTAACTAATGGTAGAATTTCCAACATTTTAAGTAAATTTCTGGAATATTATAATTGTATTTTACCAAAACATTTATTTAGCTAAGACCAACAATGATGAAGTCTAAAGATGAACAAAATCCTAGATGAACATAATATATCTTTAATAAAGTCAATACCTTTTAATGACGAGATATAAGTCACGTTTTAATACTAAGACATAGGCATTGTTATGTTTAAATTTATCTTTTATTGGAAGAGAAAACTGTAAAAACAATTTTAATTAAAAACAAGTTATCAGATAACACAAGTGTTTAGAATAAGGAAAACAATCTAAATAGTGTTTCATATATCTAACAACAATGGCCATTATCATATAACATTTAATATTTCTAAGAAATGTCGAGTTGACATTAGCAGAAGTTATTACGAAGCGTTTGACTTATTAATGAAGTGTTCAATCGAGTCTATCATATAAATAAAATGTGTTGCAATCAACAAAATTAATTGTAAAATGTAACTGAAATTAAAAGATATATTAACATCAAGTAGACGGAAACATCATACTCACCCCAGCCTATAATGATGTACCAAATCACCCGTGTTTTCTCTGTGAATACGGAAACAAAAATGACCATATGAATGTATACTGCTTCCATAAAAATCCACATGTAGCTTGCCACCAGAACATATTTATACAGTGTGAAAAATAACCGACATTCCCAGTGCTGAAAAATAGAAAAATACCATCTATCTAAATTGTTTTGAGTACAATAAGTAAAAATACAATACGTTAAATTACAATTAGTTTACGATGTTCGTATTGATGAAACCATTAGTGTACAAGGTCCATTACAATAAGGTGATATTTTCGTACAGTTAATTTATACGTAAGATAAAGTGTCGTACAAGTTTTTTCTCTTGGAATAAAGAAAATCTATAATAAATTAATTGATTAATTAGTTAGTTAGTTAATTAATTAAAACATATAACTAAGCCATTGGTGTTGTTTTTGATGCTGTTTTTTTCTGTTCTGAATTAATAAATCATCACCTTTTGTTCTGAATTTATAAAACCAATTACCTTAAACATTAATTGAAATTAACTGAAACCAGAATTAAATGTAATAACATATTTATGCCAGTCGATATAGCACTTAGACAAAACAAAAGCAAGGTTAGTTTAAGTCTTTTTGTAAGACATATCATGCAATTTATAACTTATGCAAGTTGTGTTTTATAATAAACAAAGTTATGAAAGTATTACATCTTTTTAGATAATATTACATATGTATGTGCCGTATAATATCTGATATTATTTACCAAAGGTATCAATATAGTTATTGTAATGATTCCCAGGACATTCTGGTATTATATCCGGCTTTACCTTTTAAACTTTCTTATCTCAAGAACAAATGTTGGAACTAAAGTAAACTTACCAACACATTATACTATAAATACTTTTTCCATACTTTATATTTGCTAGCTGTGCATTTTCGATAGACATATCTAAAACCATTACTTTATCTGTTTAACACAACGAATTATGACATATTGAGAAAGAAAACATTTGCCAAAATAGACTGAACAAATGTGCAATATCAGAAGATATCAGCTATGTAATTGATTATTACAACAATCTGGAAAATGTTACAGTTTTTCTGTATAATAGCAGATGATGCTGCTTTATATTTATGGAGCACGACTCTATTGTTTTATGTTCTACTTTCACCCATTGATAAATATAATATACATTTAAGAAATAAATCTCTAATATGAAAGGTACATTTTGTGATTCGTATAAATCTATATGCATTAAATTTGGTAATATATTTCTTAAACATGCCCAAAACGTGATATATGTAGATTATTATTGCATATTTATTTTCAAATCATAATTGTACAAAAATAGTTGATGTCCTCTCTGTTAAATTGATTCTCATCTTGTTTAGAAATTGATTAATGACCAACAATAATTTCAAATATCGATCTGCAAACTGAGAGTTAAAACTGTGTGATACAAAAACATGTTTCTTGTCTTGTTTTCTCTTTGTTGAAGATTGACCAACATATTTCATTGGTATTGAAATATTTCTGTTCATGAAACTTTCAAAACAATGTATGCATAAAAAACAACAATAAAAAGACGTGTCTGTTACAACTTAATTATTGTGATAATTAAGTTTAACTATCTGACCCTAAAAGAAAGTTGCAAATGTCCTCGTATCTATATAATTCAAAATAATAAAAAAATGCAAAAAAACATTAATCGCTACAAAAAAGTTTATTCAAAGCATCGGTTCAACAAGTCATTCAAAATGCTTCCTTTTTATGTTTCATAATTAGATACTCGAGCGACTGATTGTTGTGTATGCTTATTGTTTATTCTTCTGTATTATCAGAGAAACGTTGACCTGGAAAGTACAACACATTAGCGACATAATTATGGTTTTCAGTGGGTTTTCTTTCCTGTTTGTCACCGAAATAACGAATAACTAGTTTTTGTCATTTTTTTACGATGTGTTTTTTGATAAGGCATACCTTCAAATGGTGTTTATTATCTCGTACTTTTAAAGGCATTTCCTATAGTGTCTTAATTGTTGCTACGTAATAAAAAAGAAAATGGCATAAGAAAGCAAAGCAAACTCAACTTAAATAATTCACAAAATGGGATTAGCAACCTTGATTGCTTTCATAAGCTTATTCCAATCATGTTTTCCGTAGGCATGAAAAGTAAAAGAACATCATGTTATTCTTTTTCTGCCTATGAAACTGTAGCAGATGTGGTTTCAAAATATTGAGTTGGAACGAATTTTGTTTACTTGGGATAATAAAAAAGACATGATTCTCCATTGTACTCAGAGAAAGACAAATCTTAATTATACGTAAATTCTGTTTTAAAATTTATCCTATCACCAGCCATTTGAAATTAACGTTACATGTCTTTTTGCATAAATCCATCACAAACAATATGGCAGGCATTTTTCAGAAACAACTTACTGGACCATCTGTGTAAACAACAGTTCCGTTCGGCAATGTCTCGACATCTGATGGAAAACCAAGATGATGTTCCCATGCGTTCTCTTTAATAACGCTCACTGCTGCTCGAAGTATAAACGACAGAAACAGGTTCATATGTATGTAATTTCTTGCACAGTGTAACTTCCTACAATACAAAACCGTCTTAGTAAATATACATGAATGCACGACCGTATCAAACTAGCATGCAAAACATTAAAGTATGGATTTTTGATAGCTAAAAGTGATAATTCGTCTTACTACAACTATTTAATGGATGTTATGATATCCGAAATACAATAAATCGCTGTGAGACAAAAAAAAGCCGGAGGGCGACTTATCATAATCATGGCCATGATAAAAATATATGTTCAACATGTTCGATTTGAAACTTTGTACTCATATGTACTAAATGTAGCATTCGGATATATTTTGGTGACGAGTTATTCAAAATACAGAACAGTATGATTGGATTTTAGAAGCAAACAACTATTTTAAATAGATTACACTATTAAAATGTTAAATGCTCTTTTTAAATAACATACGTTATTTTGTAGTCTACATGTTAATATGAAAACATATTTTAATATCACATATCATATTTTTTTTAAAAAAAAGGTGCTTCATTGAAAGAAAATGACATGTATGCGTCGCTTTATTTGGATTATATTTTGGTTTTTATTTACTTATTTTTGTGTTAATTTTGTACAAAACCTTTGTTTATGGTATGAAAATACAATGACTTGTAGGTATATAAACTATTAATTGATACAATAGTGAATAATTTAAGAGTCTTAAACGATTGCTTGTCAATATTTTTGTAAATGTTGGTACCCTACAAATCAGGTAATACAGTTTGTAGGTGGTAATTCACATTTTGGTTCAGTCATGTCATAATAGTTATATTTAGATAATTTAGTCAACCAAAATGGACTTTATTATTATCAAAATAATGCAAAGCTATATATCATTTACCTAAACTTCTTTGCTTATCATAATTGTAATAACCACATTGGTTTCGTATTTCTGTCCATTATAAACAACACATTCTTAAAAACGACACTTTCAAATTATTCTACATAAACATTAACAGATGCATGCTGCTAAAACTTGAATGTTTGGTATGATATAATCAGATAGCACCGTTATATAATTGCTCATATCATTATCATTTGGCTAGTGGTATTTTGAAGGCGTTTGCCTCCTCATTCTAATCGTTAATCGATACGGCATGTCTACATTTGATACACTCGGATCAGAAGAAGGGCGTATTTGCAAACATGTTTACAGATTTTCTTTGAAACTTGTCTTATTTGCATTCCTTAAAATTCCCCGTGCAAGTTTTTGTTAAAAATCTATAACATCACATGTGTTTTCATTAGCCATAGTGAATAAGAAATAATATGAATTCGATTCTGCCAATAAGAAACGATAAAAAAAGGAAGTCTGCCGATTGTTTTATGTATGAAAAAAAAAATGTTAAAGATTCTGTAAAGTTTATATAATCCCTCCGAGAGCAGTGAAGAAAATGAAAAAAGACAACTAGAAGTATCTTTAACAAAAAGATATTTGACAGAAGTAAAATTGGTTAACTTGCATATATTAGTTCTTAGTGTCAATGGACAGTCATATAGAAATTTTAGCATAGCTTGCCTAACATTGACATAATAACTTTATGTAGGGTTATTAATCTTGAAAAATTAAACACTTTAAGATGTGTGTGTTCCTAAGCGAACCTGACGTGGTTCGGTAACCTTAAGTGAATTCAATTTCTAGCACCAACATCTATGCAGTCGGTAAGGCAAATATTTTTATTAATACTTGATAAATATGCAAAAATATATAAAAAAATAGAAACATATTTTCTCAATTGAACACATCAATAATCATGTAATAAATTAAACATTTATTGAACATCATGAACTGAGGATACCTGATGATTTCTGATATTTTATTCGATTTTATTTGTTTTTGGAGAAGACAATGGTAAACCGTCACAGACTTAATAAGAAAAATAAAGAACCAGTCATTTATTAGGGGTACGTTTTTATTGCTTTTTAAGGGGGAATGGGGTCGTAGCAAAAGCTTCACATGGAAATAGAAGGATTAATCTATGAAATTTGTTTAATTGGTTTTATCAGGAAAGATGATTTATCAAATGTCTGAATATTTTACTGGTTTTTTACATGATAAATATTTATTTATAGGATATAAATAGTATCTAAAACATACTTGAATTAAAATAAAAACCATGTATTCTTTCCTCGATTACTTAAGTATATCAGCTTTGGTCGCATATACATTTTTTTTTATTTTTTAGTAAAATGATTAAACATCGTATAAAATAAATTGATAAAACACTGTTGAATTTTAGGTATATTATACATGGGATGCAAATTGTTAATACAATGGATTTTATATACAATTCAATGTGGAATAAGATAATTCAAGTGGTTGAATTGTATAAAATTTCTATTGGTGGGAAGGAAAAATTTGTTTTACCTGAAAAACAACATTATGAAGATGGCCAGCAACAATGACACAAGCGACAGAAAATAGCCAATATTGTACATCAGACGGAACGCGTCCTGGTGTTTCTGTAGAATAATATTGAAAAGAAGTTGTTGCTGCGAGTATGTAAAAGAAAATATGAGCCGTGTCACGACAAAACCAACGTAATGCGTTTGCGACCAGAATGGATCCAGACCAGCTTGTGCATCCGCGCAGTCTGATCAGGATCCATGCTGTTCGCTATCAGTTTCTCTACTTGTAATAGGGTTGGTTAGCGAACAGCATGGATCCTGATCAGACTGCGCGGAGGCGCAGGCGCTGGTCGCAAACGCATTACGTTTGTCTTGTCGTGACGCGGTAAAAATAATGTAAAGTGTTAATGTTGCATTGACACTCTATGAAAACTATCCAAAACAGTTTCTTTTTTACGTTGATGCTCATGATACAAATTCATATAAATTACGTGTTACGTACAATAATTTATGCCGTCTTACCAATTCCCTAGTTGCATTCAACTACATTGATTCTATTCATGACGTACAAATATTACAAAAACTGTTGTAGCAAAGTCTTTAAGATATACCGTCACGAGAGAAACTACTGTTTCACTTTTAGGATAACTTCTGTTTTCGGTAGCTACGCAACGACTATAATTTGTCCATCCCCAAATTTTTAAGTGCCCGTTTGGCCTCGGGTCAAGCCATGTTCCGTTGGATAAACATTCCCTAAATGCAATCTCTAAAAAACAGAAATGATGTCATGAATACGTTATGTCAAACAGTTAGATAAAAGAACAATATTTAACTTAAATGACTACATTGATCTTTAAAACACATTTATTAAAACTATTGTAACCCAAAAAATAACAACAGGTTTTTATGAAATTCGTGTTGAAGAAATGTTTAATCTCAAACACTTATGTACTGGCTTTTTACTAAATAATTTACTCTTTATGCTAATAACATAGTTTTTTCATGAATTCAAATTTAAGTCAAGTCTAAAAAATAGTATTTCATAAGTATTTTGAACCGAAATATCATTACCGTTTCTTTTAAATTTGTTGATATAATATGGACACGGCTGTGATGCTATTCTTCCAGCTTCTGTTTGTGGCCAGCACATGATGCGGTCCCAGATTGGCGGGCAGTAAATACTATCTGAAAAATAGCTATTCTCTTTAGTTAATTGCATTCTTTATTCCGTACAAATTCCGAGTTTACAACAATTATAGTACGTTCCTATATAAAAGCTCAGAGGTAATCTAATATATGGTTTTCTATAAAAGTCTAGATTGTCTATTAAGGAGTATCAATATTTCTATAACAGTAAAGTGCAAAGGCATTCCGCGAGTAGTTAGAACAAAGAGACAAAAATGTTAAACACCGACAAATAGAATCATCATTTGAGCATCTGTTTTATTAGTGGCGACTATATTTGTAACAGTTTAATACTATATCTATGGTAGGAGAAGGCCTTAAAATCTGAATATAAAAGCAAATCAATTACTTAACAATTAAGGACCACAGTTATGTTTCATAATCTTAAAAATTCAAAAATAAAGTAACGCTGCTAATTGAAATGAAATATACAAATATTGACATCTTAAAAAGCAATATTACAATTTTCCTAAAATGAATTAATAACGTATCCCTATGGACCAGTCATTGAATTTAGGGATTACTTTTACTTTTTTCTAAGTGTCAAGCGTTGCTATTTTATGATTGATAAATCATGAATGATATTTGAAGAATGACACATTTAAATTATTTGGTTGTTTATATCTTATGAGACCTATTATATTTCATTATTTTATCTAATTATAAAACAGATTCTCCCTGTTCTTCTTCGTAAGAATCACGGGACTACACGTTTGTATGTTATTGTTATAAAATCTATTAATAGTAATAGATTTGCTGATAAGAGATACAGTAACTTGTGTTTAATTGCAACTTTATATACACTGAAAACTTTTACATTAACGTGCAATGTAAAGAGGAACTAATCCAATGCTAAGGTAGTTACGATATGTTCATGTCAGAAACAATATATCATAGCTAATTGTAACATCATTTCTTTCCCTTTGCCAGATATAATCAAAACTATGTCAAGAGGAAAATATAATGTATTTTTCCTATTTTTTTCAGGCACTTGCAAGAATTGCAAAAACAAAATATACATAGCATTAAAAAAGTTAATTGTTTACTTTTATTTTTGTATAAGTATTCAAGTTTTGTATTTGACTACACTGATTATTTATTCTTGTTTTACTTTGCAAAGAAACACACGATTCGAGCCTTGCCAAGCAAGGGATATAAAAAGGAATGCATGAAATAATAACCATTCACTCGTTTGTCAATCAGACAACCAACAACGGAAATATTTCTAGGAAAAAAAACGGCAAAACAATCATACGCGTGCGTTTTTGTTTGTTTGTTTTTTGCCATTATTGTTAACATTCAATAAATATATAACTATTCTGTTTCTTGGTTGAATGAACTCATGTTACTGCTAGACATACAAAGTCAATGGTGTTTTATATAGCACGAGAATGAAAAAAGGTATCATTCTGTAGTTTCTCTAACTACAGAAAACGTTATTACATGTACATGCTAATTTCGTTTTAAGTATTTTTCAATCATTTTATTAACTATATAAAAATTTAAAAGCACGTCATTTTTCAACGTGGAAAAGATATTAGCTCTAACATGGAATATGCATGAAGTGTAAAGAGACTCTACTAGGATGTTTTGCATGACTTGGCTGATTTTTTATTTCTAGATTAATCTAAAATATATAGATCATGATGCAATATTTCAGATCATTCCCTCATTCCGTTGAATATTTATTGATTTTTAAAAAATGACCCAAACAATAACTCGGACTGTGAAATAAAATAAAATAAGTTTTAGTTTAATCGTGAGTATAATTCTTATGATCAATTGCATTTCTTTTCATTTCAAGTGACCTACAATATTGATCTATGCAAGAAATTCAATTTTAATGTTTTTATGTTTTTCCCCTCTGTTTTGACCTTCTTTGAATTTCTTCAATATGAGCCTTGTACTGAGAGATGTATTATTCTAAATAACAAGTATGGGAATATTTTACGATACAATCGAAGTAATGAAGTTGAACGTCGCCTAATATAAACGCAACAGTTGCATTTGTATGTTTTCACGAATGGGAACATATCCGCTACACCAACCATAAAAAACTACAAGTAATAAGCAATACAACTGCCATGCATTTGTCGCCATCTTACAAATGATCTTCTTAACAAAGTTCATGAACGACACGTAAATATTCAATGAAGAATTTAAATCGATATCTAGAGATACGTGCTTTACAAAAAATGAGTCTTGTAACTTGCTCTACATTTGATTGGACACAGCTACAGCTTACATTGGTTTAAATATGAAAGTTATGTATTTTTATATAAGAAACACATCTTTGTCTAACTTATTGTAAAATTTAAAATGTGTTATATCCCTTCATTTCATAAATAAACATTTATTGAAAAATATCGACTTGATCAGTAATCTTTGTCAAAATGTCTTCTTTTTACAAAATACTCAGAAACTGCATCTTGTAATCTATTACGACAGGTGACGTCATATTTTATCATGAATTCATTTCAAGTACATTATAAAATATTCTAACAAGACGCGCATTTTCCCTTTTGAATATAGAGGAACCGAAAGTATGTGTTATTATGCATACATCACTGTTCCAGTCTTATTTGTATGTGACGTCATCCATTATACAACGTGACGTAATACTGAAAAAATTAGTCGGTAACAAAACAGGCAATTGCTTAATATCAGGTACGCACCTTTATATATTGATGTCTGTCGCTTCTATTGGCATAAAGTTTCATAAAACCGTATAATGACGTAATCAAAGGCCAAATATAGCTTGACACTAAATATGTTAGTGTTCATCCGTTGCTGTTCTACAGAAATTAGAAAATTCTCCTGTCGCTATCGCTCCCGTCGGAGTTTCTAATTTCTGTAGAACAGCGTGGATGAACACTAACATAATAAAATCACTGTTGCCGTTCTATATTTAGATATGTGACGTCATCATTATACACGTGACGTAACCACTAAAAAATCTGACGCGGTTAAGATAAGTACGGAAACAAACAGGCGCAATATTGCTTAATATCAGGTACGGCACCCTTTATATATTGATGTCGTGTTAGATTCGAAATAATATATCCAAATCGGTGATTTTATCGCTGGATTACATCACTGTTTGTCGTTCGGATGCGCATCATTATATCCCTCGTGGTTTTATTCCTCGCATCCGAACTCCAAACAGTGATGTTATTGAGCGATAAAATCACTGTTTAGGATATATTATTTCTTAAATTTGACGACTTTAAGTGATATATTAACATTTACATATTCTGATATTCCCCTGCAAGGATGTTACAAATCGAGAAGAAAACTGCGTTCATAGTGGTTCAAACAAGTTGAATCAAGACAATAAAGTTCCTTGAATTTGAATAAAGAATTTATTTAAAAAAAAAAACTCTCGTATTCGTTCCTGGGACCTACCAATGTAATCTTTCTCACTTACAGAAACAACGGCCAGTCACTGACGGGGATAAAAGATACATGTATGCTATGCTCATTTATGTAAAATACTTATATTGCAGGAATTTATTTAAAATGTAGGAAATCTGATTTTAATAAGAGAATGTACAAGCTATGTTGAGACAGCTGCATTTCCCATACCTGGTAATTTTAATTGGGTGTTTTGGCAGTTGTTTTTTTTTCAGTGACACTATGTATTCCTATTGTGTGTAGTGTTTAAAACATAACATATATTTTCTTCTGTGTGTGTCCGAAATTATCAGTACTTTCAAATATCAAATTTAAGCATAATATCTTTAAACCCACGCGGCTATTAAAGCTAATCCGCCGCATTACTTACCTGTGAAGTTGTTATTTTCTGTCACGTTCATAAGAATGATACATTCGATTTTTTTGTGGATCAGCAGCTCTCGTTGCTTCTTCTCGTCATTATAGGTAATATCCTAGAAAAAATAAAACAACGAATGTTTCCTTATGTCACACAATATGTGACATAATATAATATGTTTACGTCACAAAAAGAAAAATTCTGAGCGTGTCATGCTAAATAGTAGATCTAGTATTTTAGATTATTATATACTTATAAACATTTAGATAAACTGACGAAATAAAATGCGTATATTTTCTTTTTCCGCATTTTCACTAGTGTTTTGCCTGACTATTTTCTACTAAATTCAGCCAATATACGGAAGTCTTTCATATTGTAATTCAATTTTTGTTTTCTATTAATACTTTTTTGTCATCTTACAATATATGAAAATAATTATAATTTAATCATGGCTTTTGTCACTCATGAACCATTTTTTTTTCATACCACTTGGTGAAAATAAACCATGAATTTATAGAAAAAAAACTTGAATATCCTCTATAAAGATTAAGTCACAAATATGTGATATAAAGCATGCCTCCTGATATGTCAAAATATTTCAAGAAAAGCAAACTTGAGAAAATTCTACTAAGATTTTAAGAAAAGTAAATGATTCAAGATTCATTCGAGTAATAAACATGTAATATGCAATGAAATACTGATTTTGCAATTTTAATCACTGTATATTTCTACTACGCGACTAACGCAATAAGGGCTATATTTGCTTTTGCACATGTCAACCTCTTTATTGTAATTTATGTTAATTGTAATTACCGTTTGCAATTTATAAATTACTTTCTTGGCTAACTTCACAATATTTTAAATATATTTTCAAAATGTTCATGAAAATTCTAGAGGCATGTTGCTTTAAGAGTAAGAGCTCCTTTAAGTTTTAATGAATATCGAATTATCTCTCAAACGACCGGTTTCCTGAATTTAACATTAGCTTTGCAACAAGGCAGCATGGTGGAAGCATCTTAATAAATATTTTGAAGTTTATTGTTTTGGAGTGGTTTTTCAGATGTCTATTATTTCCATTTAACAAGTTTACTGCCTCTCTAATATAAAAACGTCTACAATAATGTTTGGTACCTCATTAACCTATCATATTATATTTCTGCCTGCAATTACTTTACAATGTCACCGGGAGTTCAATCTAAATAACATAAGGTTATTAATGAACACTTAACATCCACTAAGCATGTACAAACATTCCTCGAGCTAGGAAAAAACACACTCACAATGTCATTAATACTCGATCTCAGAACAGTAACCACTAGACTGCAACACAGGTACCAAGATGTATTACTAATTAATGCATGAAAATAACATACGCCTCTTTAGCTTAATGGCCGGAGCTCTGGTGTCTAATACATGTTCTGCATTACTTCAGATAATTTTTACCGTTTTGCTTATGATACAAGTATTCAGAACTTCATTTATCACATATACCAAGGCGCAGGAGTGTATTAAGCCATTTATCATATGCACCAAGGCGCAGGAGTGTAATAAAGTTATTTAATAAAATCTGCTTTATTTTGTCCTGAAACCGATATTATTTTGATTTTAACAATACAAAATTAAGGAGACCATTAACACTATTTATCACTTTCGCTGCAGATTTTCGTGCATAACGCTTTTTTGGGTCGCATCCTACTGTCGCTAAGGTATACAAATTATTAAACAAAAGAAATAAATAACTTATTATTCAAGAATTATTATCAATTTAAACTAATGTGCCTGATTATTCTTCACCTTAGTTTAAAATGAAGTCATTCTGTCGTTTTTATAAATGATATGTATACTTAGGATGGCGTCATTACGCTGCTTACGAATTGGCGCCAATCATTCTTATATGCATTTAATAAGTTGATATGGATAAAACTCATGGCTTTACTGTATGTATTGTGAGATGTTATTTTAGCATCATATGAAAAGAAAATATAATAAGAGCGAAAGATATCAATAAAATTCCTTATGGTTGTTGCCTTGAAAAGGCTTTGTTAATAATCTTATTAGATGGAAAAAGATAACAGCTGTATATGCATGTAACCCCTAACCAATGTATATTGGCAGTTTAACGCCAGCAGTTTCCTTCTTTGTGTAAAGACTAGACTAACACTTCAAATAGACCTGACGTTATTTGCGTTATATAGTGTAAAAGCATGCTAGTATTTCAGCCTACACCAAGTATAGGCGCGTCAATGAAAAATGACCAAGTATATGCGCGTCAATGAAAAAAGACCAAGTATAGGTACGTCAATGAAAAACGACTCTTTTTTACACTGTACATCGTTTTCATTGTGCATATGTGATAAATAGAACATTACATGATGTGATACACTAAATCAAAACATCTGTTACATGCAAACATCAGAAAAATAAACATTATAGAAAGAATAAAATATTTAATGGAAAAAACTACAACAAAATTATCTTTAAACCAAAATACTTACCAACATTCGACAAAAGTAAATGTCATAATATTTTTTATTTATTTTTTATATCAAAGTAACTGTATCCGGTACCCTCTTGGCACATCTATCAACTTCACTAACTTCAAGAAAAAATAGTAAAGTCAAGGAAATAAAAGAATGTTCCACAGAATGTCTCTATAATGCACCTTTTATGTAATCATTATATAATCAGGCTTGATATATAATAGTATTTTAGGTAAATGGGCTTGTACTGAGATTGTAACAAGATTTCTCTTATACTAATAAGTACTGAAGCTACTATTTTACACAATAAAGCAAAGTATGAAGTAGAGGCAAAAGGCATTCGATTTATTTAAATATATATCTGTAAACTCAACCAGGAAACGAAAACGTTCTAGTATATATTGTACAAGAAAACAGACGTTTGCTAATCTGAGCGACATTTAAAGCTAGCATAGGATTGAGAATAAACTATGATATTCATTTTATAACAATGGTCACATTTATTTATCTTTTTATTTGTTGATTTGTTACTATTCTAAATTTTATACTATTCTAAGTATATATATATTATACATTTTACTAGACTATTGTACGACTGTAAACGATGATTCTTTGACATTATAGCAAGTGCATGACAATAATGTTTGAATGAGTAAGATTAATAATCAATATTTTTTTTTAATGTTGCCATTATTAAATCTCTGTTTGTCTTCCGTTATAAAGAACATATATCTATCATATATTAACTTTATTTGTTGAAATACTTGTCAAGTAAGCGACTGTGCAATCAAATCATCATAAATATCTGACACATAATGTTTTTCATTTCATTCCATTTACAAGTAAATTGAGCCAGTTAAAATTCATTTTATTCACACATAAAATGTCTCCGCTGAGGTTTTTTGACATGATGGGACTGAAAATATTTTTTCCAGATAAACGTACCATTTGATGTAGGTTTAGACCACTAATCTTTGTGCAAAATTTCAGATTATTCGCGCACTTCGTTTTTCCAGAATGATTATTCAAATTGCAAAAAAAGTCCCAAAATGAAAAGCGTTTAAACACTTTTCACGAAAATCGGGGTAAGAAAAGCATAAAAATTCGATTTTTCAATTTATTTCAAAGTATATTTCTTCACTATCTTTGTATATATTTCTGTTTAAAGTGCCCCAGCTCATTTATGTAAGAAATTCAAATGTTATATTATAATATGATATTTCAAAATACTTGAATACATAATTAGGTAGCATTTTTAAATACCGATGTATGGAATGATGGCTTTGATAAATTTTGCTTGATCTTGCTCTTTGTGGTTAACGTCATTTGATGTAATTGAAATACTTTTTTTTATTATAACATACTCTCGGAAATGCATGTACACAAACTCGTAATGTTTTCATGTTTTTCTTGTTAAATGTATTCAATTTCTAGGATACCAACGTAAAAAACTACAGAATAAAGGCAGTGTATAATTAAACAACTCGTTGAATTCGTTCATTACATTCAATTTAAAAGTGAGTTCATGCAATGTTCTCTTTCATCTTTTTAACAGATGTGAGAAAAAAAATCAAACCACTATTTGAATTTAACAATGATATTTTTATTTCAATGATTTATAAATTCTTAACATGCACATGAAGTGCAGTTGTGACAAATTTGGAAAGGTCATGTTGAATGATCTTTGGTAGAACTCTGTCCACTAAATATATCACGTTACATAACACGCAATCACTTTCTACAATAATTTTCATCTTTTGAAAAAAATAATTTCATTGTAAACTTTAGAAAAAAACAACAATCAAATTGATAAACAGCCGCAAGTTTCTATTTTGCCAAAAGCATAGACTTTTGTTTAGATTCATTTGCCAAGAACATTTACAAACAATTACAGTAACGTATAAACTATGAATTGAATCAAAACGAAGATCTTTCCTACTTGTTGAAGTTTTTATTTTTATTCATATCTATTCCAAAAAGCAAAGATATTAATTTGGTTATCATTTAAACTACTTGATTTTTTCAGAAATGATAAACAGTGACACCTGTCTGTAAATAATGGCATTATATAGAAAAAGAGAGATATAGCTTTATATTTAGGGTCTGTAAAGTATGTCATTGTATAGGAAAAGAGAGATATAGCTTTATATTTAGGGTCTGTAAAGTATGTCATTGTATAGGAAAAGAGAGATATAGCTTTATATTTAGGGTCTGTAAAGTATGTCATTGTATAGGAAAAGAGAGATATAGCTTTATATTTAGGGTATGTTAAATATGACATTGTACAGGAAAAAAAGAGATACAGTCTTATATATTTAGGTTAAATTAGAGATGATGTACAGAAATTAGTTCAATAGAAATCAGCAGGTTACCTGTAAAACGTCTTGTGCGTGTCCTATAATAATCAAAGGGCTGCAACCACTGTGGTATTTTCTGATCTTTGCAATCTAAATCATACTGACTATCTATATGTATTTTCCTATATAAGTTTATTTTTATATACTATAATTAATCTTACGCAGCGACTGCGTCTATAACAGTTTGAGATTGAGATTTGCATGACTAGAGTTGCATCAAAAAAATCATTTTTCATTTTTTATGACAGCCACACTTTATCCTTGCATATCGTAGCTAC